AAAATCAATAAACATAAAAATAAAAATAAAATATGAAAAATATACAAAATATGCAAAGGGGGTGGAAAAGTAATGTAGGGGGTGCAAAAAGTAGAAACAAAAAGGCCAAAATTGCAAAAAGCCCAGATCATCAGCTTCGTCCCTGTCCTTGGCTTCTTCCTTGCGCGCATTTTTTTTAAACCTGCAACTTGCTATTCTTTGCACAAAAACAAAAACTTGCAACATGAAACATGTAGCATTTTTGATCACGAATCCAATGATATAAGATTTGTAAACTAACTTTAAAAGATCAGAGAGAATTTAATCACCCCTAATTCCTGACCTAATTTTTTCATGAACTTCAAGCTTCAAATTCTCATGGCACAGTTAATATAAATGACAAATATGCATATGTACAACTTCACTATGCTAGAGACTATATTTTTGCTTCACAAATCTTGGCTTGAGGATGCCTAAATAGAGAGATAAAGTTTTGAAAAATACCTCCTTCAGCTGGATTTGGATATGGCAATGTTGGGACTTTGAATGAGGCCTGAGGATCGTGTGAGCTTCCTTGAAGTTCCCTCAAGCTATTCCAATGCTTAGCTGGCTTTATGGATGGCTGAAACTCCCTGTAGAAGTCAAGCTGCAACCTTCAAGTTTGAAAATGGTGATGTCTGAAACAGAGCTCACAGTTGCAAGATGAATGCTTGGATGGATTTGGTAGGATGTATGGAAGGTGTTTGAAGTGTTGAAACAAGAAACACACGAGCCAAAAATGAAGTGGCTAGTGTTTTGCAGAAGCTGCCATGTTTGGGCAGAAATTTGTGTTTTTTGAGTTTGAGAGTGTTTGGGATGTTAGGCAGTCGTGTATTGGCTTGTCATAAGTTTCTGAATCTGTCCAGAATGATGCCAAGTCCTCTCTTTATCAGCTTGTACACGTTTCTCCCTTTTGGCCAACTTTCTTGCATTTTAAGAAAAGTGACAAGACTTATGCAAAAGGCATGTACTAGCTACCTCAAGGGTTGATAATAGTTGGTATTCTTTGCTTAATTTCTGTGGAAATTGTCTAAACCACAAGAACAAGTCCAAGGCTCAAGGCTGATAAAGTTGGAAAAGCTTGCTTTATGAAAATGCCAATGTGAACTTTTGGCCATTTATGGAATTATTCCTTGTACAATGCTTCAAAAGCCAAAATAATGCCATTATCCATTGAGTTGGAATTTAATTATGGAGTATAGAAGGGATTTAGGACCTGTAATCTAAGGTACAAGCATGCTTGATCAGATCTGCAACTTGGTGCATTGTGAAAATGGCTTGAACAAAAGTGACAAAATTCAATTTTCTCTTCTTCGATTCTCCATAACCACAAATGATCTTGGAGAGTTCTTGTACATTTTGGAAAGCTTGCAACATGCGCTACAATCCATATTTGAAATGCATTTTGAGATACCTCTTGTAACTAGGTGAAAATGTCCATGAAGTTGGGTCAAAAACCTGCCTAAATTAGGGCAAATTTTCACTAAGTTATTTAGTTAATGGACCCCTATTCACAAATTCATAACTTGAGATCCAAGCATCTTTTGGGAAAACTTTGTGAAGAAAAGTTGTATATTTCGTGGAGGACTACAACTTTCATGTTGGAAGTTTTCTTTGAATCAAATTACATCATGGTGAAAAAGTGGTGAAAAGTTGGAAAAAATAAGAAAATTTCCATACTTAGAAAATTTCTAAGTTTTGAAAAAATTTCAAATTAAAACCCTAATTTGCAAAATTCATTTTCTTGTTGAACAAGTTTCATGTTTTGACATATCTTGATGAATTATGACCCTTGGCACTTGATTTTGACCAAAAAGTCAAAGTTTGACTTTCTAGTGTACAGTTGATTTTTGATCAGTTGACTGCAAAATTCATCTGTCAATCCTATGAACTTGAGATCTTTCGAACTATTTGAGTAGGTCAAGATGATTCTATTGAGTCCTTGAAATCATGTTTGAACCCAATTGGTCATTGGCTAGGTAAAAAATCAGAAATTTCCCTTTCTCAGTCAAAACCCTAATTTTGACCATTTTGCCCTTTTGATGATCTGATCAAATTTCTTGAGGAGTTGTGATCCAAACTTGATCAAATGGTACATATAAGTCTAAAATGTGGTTGTGGATCAAAAATTATGAAGTTTAACTGTAAATTGGCCATGGTTGACTTTTTCCCTAATACAGCTGATTTTTAGGTCAATTGTCCAATTGACTGGGCAAAAATGTGATTCAAGGCTTGAAACTTAACATGAGCAATCTTAGGGGTCCAAGATGGTGTATAAAAGTCACATGAAGCATTGATGGTCCAAAAATCCTTGTTCAAACTCAAACCCTAATTTTGGGGTATCAATGCAAGGTGAGTTGAGCTGAGCAAACCCTAGTCTTGTCTTGAGTCCCAGAAGTCTTGTGAGGAAAATCTTGATAAATGAGAGGGAAAATTTTGGGGTACAACAGTTAGAAATAACTAAAACCTATTTTCGACATTTGAATTAAGTCGAAAATACCTAAGTCTTTTCAGGCTTGAGATTTTTTATTTTCCACTTTTGCTAGCCAGTCTATATATTGTTTATCTGCTATAGGCATGATCTAAAAGGTTTAAATTTCTCGGTTACATAGTCGAATTGAAAAGGGTTATCCTCAGTTATAGGAACTGAGAAATATTCTTTTTGGATTTTCCCTATAGATGATTGTACTAATTGTTCAACTTTGTTAATAATGGGTTTTGTATCATAGGAAATTGGGAAAATGTTCTTAATTTTTTCTAAACATAAAGAGGATAACATTTGACCAATGTACCCTAGAGTTTTATCAGCAAGGGTAAAAGGAATTATTACCCGAGAAGCATAGATGGCTCGTTGTTCAGTAGAAACAAGTGGTGTTGGGACCAATTCTTGATTTCCACTAAGAAGGAGTTTTGTAATGCGATGAATAAGTTTGAATGCAGCATAATTAGTAGTTTTCGCTTCATTATTATTCACATTTTTATCAGATTTTCTACCCTTTTTTTAAGGCGCCATGATTAATAGATTCAGATTTTGGTTGTTTGAAGGTTTTTTGAGGAAGAGAGAGCGTAAATTTTTTGAAAATAGGAAGTTGAGAAGATGAAAAAGTTAATTTGAGGAAGAAGAAGGGTACTTATAGTTGGAATATGTTCAGTTTAAATTCTAAAATATTTGAGTTAGTTGGACACATGGTGATTTTTTATAAGCTGATGAAAGAGGTTTCTTGTTTAAAAGCCACACTAGAAACCTATTTTAGTAGCAATGATGGAACTGATGCATGCACGTTTTGATTAGGCGTTTTGGAAAAGTAAATCATGATTATTCTGACGTCATAACAATTATTATCCATCATGAAGATTGTATGTTCGTCAAAATATAATTAATCTACAAGAAATGTATGTTTCTCCAAGTAATTCGAAACACATTTATTGGGGGCAATTTGTTGACTGAGAATTTCGACTACATGAGTTTTTAGCTGAAATGATATATTTTGGAGAATATAGTTCGAAAGGAAGAATAAATAAGTCTTTGTTAATATTTTGATAGATGAAAAGTTAATAAGAGCTTTGTTTTTTTAAACTATTGGCAAATGGTTCGTATGCAAATCATTGGGTTTTAAGTTATTCAAAATATCATAAAGGATATTTTTGACCATCAAGATTATGATATTTAGCAATCCGAAGACAAAGAATTTTCATATTCAAAAGTTTGATCTTATCCAAAGAGACGCGTGGAAGCATAGAGTTCGAAGGCGCATGCAGATGTCGAATGTGGCAACATTTTATGAAGAGATCGTTTTGGTCGAATTAGTATAAATAGGGATTTTAGCGTTAGGATTCAGTGTGTTCACATCTTTGTACAAAATACTCTAAATTACTCAAAGTACCAGCGTTCGAGAAACGAGTTGTGAGAATGTACGTATGATACACCAATTTTATGTTTATTGTCATTCAACATTAATTGAAGTTTTATACATTCCCTTTAAATTTCAGTCGAAATCCTTTTACATTACAGTCTTTTCTTTAAAACATTATATTACTACCTATGAACTAACAATTGAAATCAATGTTGTTTAAAAAAATAAGAATGTTGTCGAAAGTATTCTTCGTTTCAAGAACAAAAGTTTTGGATAAGAACACATGTACTTAGGATTAATCTAGTTGATCATGCAAGTCACCAATTTTTATTCGATTTGGAAGACTAGCGATTGTTTACCAATTTCACAGTAAAAACAACTGCACACTTGACAAAAACCATTAGGGTACAAAATTGTTCTTTATGAAACTATGTATTGATATCATCAAAACTAAAGGTCAGATGTAGAACTGAATCTTGTTTTTACAATCTCCCCCTTTTTGATGATGGCAAAACCATGCATTTTAATGGATAATTTTGACTTGGTTTAATCGCGGGAAACATATCAAAGTAAGTTAGAAATTTTGTAAGCCCCCCTTGGGTTTTATATTATCAAAATTTTCTCAACATGCTCAGAAAGAAGTTTGTAGACTCCCATTGAGTTTAAGACTTATGAAAATTTTTGATACATAAAACTCTTTGATTAGCATGAAAGAAAAAGGAGACTTCTTTATCTCATAGTCTAAATGATTCCTTTTCTCAAAGCCTAGCTTGAGTCAAAGCCCGATGAAGCATAAGAACCTGGTAAAATCTAGCAAAGCCTTGTTCGTACTTAAAATTATGAATAATCTCAGACTTTCTGATTCATGGTTCATAAACATCTAAATAACCTGATTAGAGCTTTAGTGAACTTTCTCAAAGTTTCTTAATCATAAAAATAATTTTAGAATGGTATGTTTGGGATTAGAAGGAAAATAAGTATATCAAAATCATGTTTGCGTTTCTCCCCCTTTGTAATCAATAAAAAAATGAAAAGATAAAACGAAACTTCATTGATTAAAAAAGATAGATACAAAACATTAAAAGATAACCCAGATAAACTGGTCAAAAATAAAAACTATTTTTTCTTTTAAAAAAAACTTAAAAACATCTTGAAAAGTATTTCAGGTAGGGGTAGCAGCCTTGACAAAATCACTTGGAGCAGTCCTTCAATCTTGGTGTTCGTGTGATCTTTTTCCTTGAACATTTCACCTTGTTTGTTTAGACGAGTTTTAACCACTGCATTCTCTTGCTTGATTTCTTCTAGAGTCTTCATCACAACCAGATGCATGAAATCAAATTCATAAGGCTTCACTGATCCAGAAGTAGTTCCCAACTCAAATTCATGTGGTTTCTCAGATTGAGAAATGATTTGCTGTTCAAAAGGATGAGTAAATTTAAGTTGAGTCTCTTGTTCAGTCCAAACCTCTTGTTTAGAAACAACTAAGGCTAGATCAACTTCTGGTGCAGGAAGAAATTCTGGTTTGAACATCTCCAGAAGAGGCTCCATGATACCAGAGAGTTTTTCATGGAACTTGTTATGAGCATTTTCAAAGCACATTTCTACAAGATGCCATGAACGAGAATTGATCCATCTTCTGAAATCAGTCCAAATTGTATCACTCTCAGCATGGTTGATACAATTTATGTAAACTAATGTAAGAAAGTGTAGACGATCGTTTGCTTCAGACTTAAATTGTAACAACAATTCATAAAAGGGTGGTTTTGGTTCATAAAGGATGTTCAGGTTCACTTGGGTTCTGAGGAAGTTTTATTCAGAAGGAATGAGTTAGATTGTTTCATATTCTACCTCAATCTCAGAGTCAGATGAAACTAAAATAGATTCATGTGAGGAATCCTTCAAGGGGGAATGGTTTAAGATATGGTCCATATATGTGTCAATGATGAGTGTGTTGATGATATTTGGTTGAGTATGTTTATATGGTGGGGAAGGTGTAGAATATGGAAATTAACGAATTTCAGGAATGATAATTCAAAAGGATGTATGAATGGATGAAGTCAGTTATGGTTCATAGCGGGTATCTTCAGGTTGTGATTATGACATTTTTGAAAGAAGTATCTGAGGAATTTGTGGTTGTATGGGTTCAATGAAAGTGGTTTTAGATGGTTGTGGATTAGATGGTTCATATGATTTAAGAGTAGTGGATTGTTTTGGTTGAGGCGTTTAAATGGTTCCAACAGGTGTATTAAAGAGATGTATTTTAGGTGTAAGTTGAATAGGATAATATGATGAAGTGTTAACAATTTTACCAGAAATCACATATGACTCAACAATATATGACTTACCAAAAGGCTGACTCTGAGCAGGTTAATTCTGAGTAGGAGATTATTCAACTTTCTCAGTGCTCTCAGAACCTTCAGCATCAGCTTCCTGAATAATTCCCAAAGGCAATCTCATAGTTGCAGAAGTCTTAGACACTTTGGCTGGAGACTTAGCAGTTCCAGAAGGTACATCACCATCCTTTTTGGAAGTTTTTCTCTTTTTTTCTGATTTTGTTGATCTTGATATTGTTGTTGTTGCTGAAAAGATGACCTTATTTTTGAGATTTGTCAACTATGGCGAAGGAAAGGGGTTTTGGTTGCAGAGGAAATTTTTAGGTTTGAAAGAGAGAAAGTGTAGGATAGCAAGCAGCAAAATATGTGAACAGTGAGTGAAGTGGATTTATAAATAGATTTAGTAATGATGACAAAATCTTAAATAATGCAAAAAAATTAACCAAGGGAAGGTGTAAAGTGATTTTACCTATTTCAAAGAATTTCTTACTCCCAATGTGTCACTTAACCGTTAGAAGGGTTCAATATAAGACACTTGTCTTATTCTGATCCACAAACATTTGCTTTATTGATAACTATTCATATTAAAATCTTTTTAGAATCCAGAAGGTAGGCCTTTTCAGAAAGGTTCTGATTGGACACTTATGAAACAAGAAATCTTCTCACTTTATAAGACTCACTATTCAGAAACAATAAATCCCGGAGTCTCATTTTATCATTTAAAAAATTAAACATTATGAGATATTCATCTTTTTCATTTTGGACATAAGTCCATTTTCAAATGTTTTAAAATGAAAACAAATTTATCTTCAACAAATTGTTTTGTTAAGATATCAGCCAATTGATGATTTGTATCAATAAATTTAAAATTTCCATCTAAACATAGTCTCATATAAAGTGATATTTAATCTCAATATACTTAGCTATATAATGTAAAATGATATTCTTAGATAAACATATAGCAAAAGTATTATCACAAAGAATAAGAACATTACTCTCATATATCTGAAAGTCTTCTAGCCGACTTTTTATCAAGAGGACCTGAGTGTTACATTAAGATGTTGCAATGTACTAAGCTTTAGTTGTTGACAATGAAATTATTGATTGCCTCTTGCTGGACTATGAGATCAGATTGTCTCCCAAAAAAATGACAGCTTCCAGAAGTACTTTTTCTTTCTAGTCCATCTCCAACATAGTCAGGATCACAATAACCTACTATCTTGTACTCTTTTTATTTTCTATAACAGAAGCCAAGGTTAGTAGTACCTTTCAGATACCTGAAGATCCTCTTAACTACTGTTAAGTGGGACTTTATATAATTTGATTGGAAGTGAGCACATAAACAGACATTAAATAAAATGAATGGTCTAGAAGCAGTTAAGTATAAGAGAGAACCTATCATACCTCTGTATAGCTTATGATCTACCTTATTGATTTCCTCATCCTTCTCCAGAATACAAGTAAATGCATTGAAGTCTTAACTAGCTTGCATTTTGACATGGAAAACTTCTTCAGAAGTTCTTTGGTATATTTGCTATGATGGATATATTTCCCTTCTAGACTTTGATTAATCTGGATTTCTAGAAAGAATTTGAGTTCTCCCATTAGACTCATCTCAAATCCAGCCTACATAAACTTAGCAAACTCTTTGCACAGGGTAGCATTAGCAGAACTAAATGTTATGTCATCCATATAGATTTAACCAACTAGGATCTCATTTTTGAATGTCTTACAGATCAAAGTAGTATTAACCTTTTCTCTGGTAAAATGATTTTCTAAAAGAAAATTATTTAGTCTTTCATACCATATTCTAGGAGCTTGTTTTCAGATCCATACAAAGATTTCTTAAGTTTGAAAAAAAATCTGGATTTTTAAGATTTTCAAAACCAGGAGGTTGGTATATATACACTTCTTCAATTATGTAATTGTCGCATGGCAAAAAAATACAGAGTCGCCATAAAAATTTATTTATCTCAAAGAGAAGGGGAAACATCGAGAAAACTCCAAAAGAAAGGATAAGATAGTCTTGCGACCAAGATATAGGTTCGAGAATCGGTCATGCAAGAGAAAAACATTAGCTTCCCTCACATCCGTTATACTCAATGGAAACCGTTTTGTTTTGATTGTCTCACATGTAAAAGGGAAATTTGAGCACTTTTATTTACATATTATGGATAAATACTTAAGAAAAAATAAACTCCTTATAATTATTAGAACCTGGAAACGTTCATCATTCAATCTCATTGCCAAAAAATTTGCATAAAGAATCAATCATAAAGCTTGAAAACCACATGAGAATCCAAAGAAACTTAAAGCCTATTTCCATCAATTTCATGGTACTTTTTATGAACATAACCAAAAGCATGTATTTAATCATTAAGTCAAGGATCAGAACATGCTTATTAAGAATGCATAATGCAAATAAATTGGATCAAGGAGAAGGAATCAACAAGAACACGTAGAAACCCTAATCCTAAAGCATACTCATCAATTACTTTCAATTAATTCCTAATGAACAAAAATTCCAAAAAAAAACATGCTAAGATCAGAGGCATAACATTCACATATTCATCAAGAAAAATAACAAAAATCGTACACAGATTTGCAAGAAAAATCATCAAGAATTATGTGCAAAAAAATTGGAAAAAAGAAATATAGATGGTGAGACTAGGAGGTGTGAACCAGAGCCTATGGGTATGAAAACCTGGAACTGAATACTAGGCCCAACTCTTGCTTCTTTTGTAATGTGTCTTGTCATTGAATTGAAAAGTTGACTTGTCTTTCAAACTATGAAGTAATTTCAAGCAAGAGAAATATGTCTTTTTCTTGAATGTGAATCTCAAATTTTACTTCAATTCTTCAATTTAGAATTCCAATCTTCTCTAAACTTGCACTCTTGGATCAATGGAATAAGATAAGTATGACTTTGGTCATGACTTGCTCTCTTTTGTAAATATGGTAATGCTCTTTTCAATTTGTGAAGTACTTGTAACTTTATGATGATTTTTTTACTTTAGAAGGAAATGTATCCTTGGAATCCACTTGAAACATGGTGATGTGATATGATTTTGTAATGATTTAAGAATTCATATGAATCGAAACATGGAGATGTGATATGATTTTGTAATGATTTAAGAATTCATATGAATAAAAGTATTAATGTTTCCCCCTTTATTTAACTTTGACTTTTCAATTTTATTTTGACCATCTATGTCTTGATATATTTCATGGTATGCCAAATCATTCAATAGTAACTTGTATGAACCTATGTCATTCCTCTCTCGCTTACTTACTTTGAATGACTTATCATGCCATGAACATCTTGCCATGAATGATCCTTTGACAAATTAAAGGGATTATCATGTTTTAGTAACTTTTGATTGAACTTTGAGTCAAATCCTTAATTCTCCCTAAGAACTCTAGACTTTAGCTTGAGCCAATTGAATGAAGTCTAAAGAGTGTAGCTTGTACCTTAAGTATACCAAGTGATTAGATGGAGTTCTTTGCCTTAAGGTACACAAACCCTAATTTGTGACTAGAATCCAAATGAAACCATCTTCCTCTGTTACATAAAACCCAAGACCACATGACTTGAGATTCAAGTAACAAGTGCCTCCTTGTTTGACAAAGAAGAATCATTAGAAACCCTAGCAAGCCATGGATAATGTCCTCGCCTGATGATCATAACTTCACAAAGAATCCCTCTTGGATAATTCATGTGGATATGACATGTATAAGGAGATGGATTTTAATGCTTAAGCTTGTTGTCGTTAAGTAACCTCTTGTGGATGACTTGCATTGTAAGCAACAATGATCCTTTCTTGTGTTGAAGAAGCCAAAGAATGTTAATAATAGTAGCCTTGGATGGTGTACAACCAAGCCTTTGACATTCACTTTATAACCTTGAGTATATGGATAAAACCCTAATCATAATCATTGAGTTCTCAGTTGAAACAAACCCTGCAAACGAATGAAACCCTAGTGCACAAGTGAAGCCTTAGTCTTCATGAACTTTGATCCCAAATGCCAAGCCTTGTTGTTAGTGAATGCGTGATGTGTTAGATGACCTAATGAATGGTAAGTATATGAGCAATATGAGATGCATAAGCCAGATGATTTGATAAAGGTAGGACAAAATTGGAGTATGATAGTTTCCCCTATTTAATCGTCTTAAACCTGAATGTGAGATTGAACCAGCCTTTCGAACATTCAAGGTACAAGAAGATTAAATATAAAGACCTGAAATTTGTCCTGAAGAGATAGAGT